CGTGTGTAAACAAACAGTAAATAACCTCTGACACGTCTGTAAACAAACAGTAAATAACCTCTGACACGTCTGTAAACAAACAGTAAATAACCTCTGACACGTCTGTAAACAAACAGTAAACAACCTCTGACATATGTGTAAATAAACAGTAAATAACCTCTGACATATGTGTAAACAAACAGTAAATAACCTCTGACATATGTGTAAACAAACAGTAAATAACCTCTGACACGTCTGTAAACAAACAGTAAATAACCTCTGACATATGTGTAAACAAACAGTAAATAACCTCTAAGGTTTTTATCTGTTGTGGATAAAGCAGGTAAATAAACAGGCCCCGCCCATTTACCTGTTTCTGTGGCACCACATCATCAAGCGTCTTTGTTAACCTGTTGATGTTAAAGACTCCGTACATCAGTCTGTGTCTCACCTGGTGACTGTATAAACCCCGCCCCCAGGCGTCCAACCCCTACCTGTCCAGCAGGACGGGCTCCACAGTGACCTCTGGTGGACGTTTCCGCTGCCCGTCCTGCCGACATGAGGTGGTCCTGGACCGGCATGGAGTGTACGGACTGCAGAGGAACCTGCTGGTGGAGAACATCATTGACATGTACAAACAGGGCAGCAGCAGGTACACCCCACCTGTCCACCTGTCCTCACACACCTGTCCTCACCTGTACACTCACACACTGTGTGTGTGTTGGACAGTAAACCTGTTCCAGAGGTGAAGACTGAGCCGATGTGTGAGGAGCACGAGGACGAGAAGATCAACATCTACTGCAGCAGCTGCTGCGTGCCCACCTGCTCGCTCTGCAAGGTGTTTGGAGCCCACAAGGACTGTGAGGTGGCACCGCTCAGCAGTGTCTTCAGCCAGCAGAAGGTACACACCCAGTTACACAACACAGGACTGTGTCTTTGTGTGTGTTCTTGTGTAACGCTGTGCTACCCTGAGTAGGCGGAGCTAACTGACTGCATCTCCATGCTGGTTGGGAACAATGAGAGGATCCAGGCCATCATCAGTCAGCTGGAGGAAACCTGCAGAGCCGTCGATGTGAGTCCACCTGAACCATCCTGACTTCAGCTCTCAACACAGTATCACACACTGGACCAGGACCGAGGTTCAGGGCTCGGGGGTTGGTCTGAAGGCTGGTGGGTCAGTCCTGAGACCTGTGGGTCAGTCCTGAGACCTGTGGGTCAGTCCTGAGACCTGTGGGTCATTCCTGAGACCTGTGGGTCAGTCCTGAGACCTGTGGGCCAGTCTAGAGACCTGTGGGCCAGTCTACAGACCTGTGGGTCAGTCTAGAGACCTGTGGGCCAGTCTAGAGATCTGTGGGTCAGTCTAGAAACTCACAGGTCAGTCCTGAGACTTGAAGGTCAGTTGCAGAGTCCTGGTCAGGTGTTAGCATGTCCCTCTGACAGGTGAAGTCTGTTTGCAGGAGAACGGTCGACGGCAGAAGTCCAAGGTGTGTGAGGTGTTCGATCACCTGTTCGCTCTGCTGGAGGAGAAGAAAGCTGAGATGACGGTGAGGATCAACGGCGAGCAGGAGGAGAAGCTCGACTACATTCGAGGTCTGAACAGGAAGTACAGCGAGCATCTGGAAGGAAGCGCCAAACTGCTGGAGACGGCCATCCAGAACCTGGACGAATGTGAAATGTCCGTGTTCCTTCAGGTGACCCTGAACGCATCACAGAGACGTTAAGAGAACAGGTTGTTCACGTTAACGTTGTTAATAAAGTTTCTGTTTGAACTTCTTCCTTAGTCGGCAAAACCTCTGCTGCAGAAGTAAGGTTCATCTTCAGTTATTTGTTATATTGTATATGTTCATGTGTTGTTTGTCTTCTTGTTGTTGTTGTTTTCTCCTGCTCTGACTCATGTTTATGTGTTGTTTGTCTTGTTGTTGTTGTTGTTTTCTCCTGCTCTGACTCATGTTTATTTGTTGTTTATCTTGTTGTTGTTGTTGTTGTTTTGTCCTG